AGGAGGAGGAGGGGGAACGGGAGGAGGAGGAGGAGGAGGTAGGGCGCGCAGACCCCCAGGGGGGGTGGCGCAGACCCCTAGGCCTCGGAGGTGGGGTGGAGTGGCGCGGATACCTAGGCCCTGGGCCGCGGGGGCTAGTTCAGTTCTCCCTCCTCCTCCTCCTCCCCCTCCCCCTCCTCTTCTTCCTCCTCCTCCGAAGCAACGAAGGCACGTCGTCCTTGCGCGGGCAGAGTGGATGCTCGTATGTCTGTTGTCGGAGAGAGGTCGGGGATCTTCTGACCCAGGTCAATCCAGACCCGGGCCGGTCAGGCCCTGCAGAATCCTGCAGGATCCTGCCAGGTCCTGCACCCGAGCCCGGGCCAACGCGCAGGATCCTGCAAGGTCTGGGAGCGGCCAAGAGCGGGGTGTCCAAGAGGGGGGGGGTGCAAATCATGACCGGCGGCATGTGCGCGGCCCAGCGGGGAGGCCAGGGACGTACTGGAATACGAAGAGGCGCCACGAAATCTGGGGAAATATCATGGCCCCCGCCATGATACCCCCCCCCCCCAGTCATCACCCCCCTCTTCTCCGCCCCCGCAAGGTCCTGCAGGGTCCTGCGCCCGAGTCCGGGTCAGTGCGGCCCTGGCCCTGCAGGCTCCTGCAGGACGGGGCGCTCTCAAGGCTGACCCCCCGTCTGCGCCGACCCCCGTCCCTCAAGGGCTCCCGCAGGAAAGGGAGGAGGAGGATAGGAGGAGGAGGAGGAGGAGGAGGAGGAGGAGGAGAAGGAGAAGCGGGAGGAGGAAGAGGAGGAGGAGGAGGAGGAGGAGGAGGAGAAGGAGGAGGACGGGGGGAGGAGGGGGAGGAGGAGGGGGGGGGGCCCTGTCGCGCTCCCGGGCGCGCCGCCACGCTAACGAAGCCGCCGCCGCCGGGGGCGGGAGAGAGCGCGAGGGGGGCCCCCTCCGACGCGCGGGGGCGCCACGATTTCGTGCAGCGGCCCTTCGATCCACGTGCAGTCCTTCGCGCTGCTCTCGGCGAGGGAGCGTTTTTTGTTGTTTCTTCTTCTCCGCGGGGCGTGGGGCACCACCGTGCTTGGCCGCAAGCTGCTGACGGTGTACGGGGTGGGGAATATATAGAGAGAAAAAACCCGCGAGCGTAGGGAAGGCATCATGCGACGCTGGGTGCGCGCACACTGGCCATCGCTCGGACGTCCATCCCCTGTGTTTTTTGGGGGGGTTCGTGCGTGGTTGTTTCGCCAAATGAGCAAGGATGCTCCTCGATGGTCCTCGCCGAAGGAAAGATGCACAAGTCCGCGCAAAACGTTCAAAGCATCCTCGAGAGCAGTCGCCTCGGCAGCGAAAGCCGAGATAGGAGAGGTGAAGGCTCCGCCCGCCATGAGCTGAGAGCGCCCTTTTGTCCTGATTTCCGCCAGTCCTGGGGCCCCGAAGGCGGCCTCCAGGCTCACGCTGCTCCCATCGTACTTGAGGGCCCCCCGTCCCAGGAACCACTTTGAGCGCCCAGGAAAGTGTCGAAAGAGTGTCGAAAGCGTGTCGAGACAGTGTCGGACGAGTGTCTCCCAGGGTCCGACACGCGAAAATCCTCGAGAATCGGAACTTTTTTTGGTGCTGGAAAGTCTTTCTCGCGGTCAAGGCTAAAGCAGGTTGGAACATCATACGGTGAGGTGAGATTACCTTCAGTGGAGGCCCGTCCACAAGAAGCCTTCCACAAGACACCCAACCTTGAGACCCCAAGACGTCCATTGATTCTTGGTGTGGGAACTTCACGCTTTCCATGGCAAAGCCATCGAAACCCAAGAAATCCAGGGCACCCTGGAAGGCAAGCAGGGTGTTTCTTGGCATGGGTCTCCACTGTACGAAACAGCACAATGCAGTCGGCAAACAGTTGGAAACAACATGAAGAAGGAAGGCGGATCAAGTCTATTGGGCACCGGCACTCCCAGAGAATAGCAAGCACACACACCAAAACCATGCCGACTCTTGAAGTAGGAAGGCGCTAGAAGCAGATTGGGATCTGGGAATTCAGAAGTACCTACTTCCAACGACCGACGAGTAGTGTGTGACGAAGAAGGCCCTCACTGGGGCCCTTCTCTCCACCCCCCATGAGGGAGCTCCCCCCCCAATGCCGACCGTAAGTGGATCAGAGCCTTCCTGCCGCTCCCAGTGCTGCTCCCGCCGTCGTCGTCGTCGTCGTCGTCGTCGTCGTCGTCGTCGTCGTCGTCGTCGTCGTCGTCGTCGTCGTTGTCGTCGTCCTCCTCCTCCTCGTCCTCCTCGTCCTCGTCCTCGACGTCGACGTACACGTCGACGTCGACGCCGTCGTCGTCGTCGTCGTCGTCGTCGTCGTCGTCGTCGTCGTCGTCGTCGTCGTCATCGTTCTCGTCGTCGCCTGGATCCGCCGCGCTGTCCCGCCCCCGCAAGCTGGTCGATGGCTAGCGAGGGGGGGAGTGAGACTGAGAAGGCCTTATCAGAAGGCTCGGAAGTCCCCCGGCCTTCTGAGAAGTTGCCTAAGCCTTCCCCGAAGACAAAAAACAAATTCCCGAAAGGTGCGAAGGCTTCTGAGAAGTCCCGCCGCCTTCTGAGGAGGCCTTGTGCTTCTCTTTTTCCCCCGCGGGCGCGCCACAGAATTTGGTTGTTGGATCATAACTCGGGTACCTGGCGGCCGTTCGGGACGCCCCGGGCACCCCCGGAATGCTCTCGGCGAGGCGCAGCCGCTGGAACGCATCCCGAGGGGGAAGAACCGCCGAGAGCCGACGAAACCGCCCGCAGACCTCGCACCTCGAACCCGAGCGGGCCCCTCCTCCTCCCCCCTCCTCTCCCCTCCTCCTCCTCCTCCTCCTCCTCCTCCTCCTCCTCCTCTCCTCCTCCTCCTCCTCCTCCTCCTCCTCCTCCTCCTCCTCCTCCTCGCCCCCCCTCGCTCGCCGAGCGGGCCCCCGAAAGAGAGCCCGGCTCTGCGCGGCCTGCCCCGCGGCGGGCACGAGCGGCCGGCGCGGCGCGGTCTTCCCGCGGGGCGGCGCCGAGCGGGGCCGCTCCTGCGGGCGCGGGCGCGGCGCGGCGCGGCGCTTCCCGCTCGCAGGGCGCGGCCAGCCCAGACCCCCTCGCGCCGTGGCCAAAAAGTCACGACGGGAGGTTTTTCGCTCTTGTTCGCCTCTGGGGCCCCGTACCGGGACGCCCCCGCCCGCCGCGAGGAGGAGGAGGAGGAGGAGGACGAGGAGCAGGAGGAGGAGGAGGAGGAGGACGAGGAGCAGGAGGAGGAGGAGGGCCGAAAATGCACCCCGATAAGAACCACCCCGACGAGCGAAGCCGTCTAGCAAACGCGCCCAAAGAAGGAATCGAACAGGGCAGGGCCGTTTAGTAAACGCCCAGGGCCGTTTAGTAAACGCCAGTTGTCCGGTCTGGGTGGTTGTTCCTCCCTTGAACTATAGCACGCGCGCGCCTGTCAGCACAGACCGGGCAGCAGGACCAGTGGAATCATGCTGCGTGGCACCACCAAAACAGAAACAACAATGATTATGTAAATTAACCCGCGAACTTTTCATATATCTATGTATGTATATATATATATATATATATATGTATATTCATATGTGTACATATTGTTTGTGTTGTAACACCCTGCGGGTGGAACGAAACAGTTACGCTGAGGCAGTTCAAAACGACTCGGGAGGAAAAACCGGTCCTGGGGAAGGGGTCCAGACCTCTGGGGGTCGACGTCGTGACAGAATCGTGGCGTCGGGGGGCCGTGGGAGCCTCCGCCCCCCCCGCCTCGGCCCGAGGCCTCCCGGCGCCGCGGTGTTTTCGGAAGGGGGAGCGCCGCCGCCGCTCGGCAGCGAGCCGCGGGGCCCCCGCAGATCGATGCGGCTGGGGAAGTGGATCAGAAGGACGGGGGCGAGATTTCTCACGACGCCTCGATGTTCGTCACGACGTCGGATCTCAGGGCCCACCCACTCGAGCACGAGCACCACAGGCACAGCCACGCACCCGAGGACGTCATGAGGCCCCTCAGGGGAGGCTCTGAGCGGGTGAGGCGCGAGGCCGAGGCAGGTCACGAGGTGCGATGGTGCCGCAGCCGGACGTGCACTAACAGTTGGCCGCACACAAGCTGGGGGAGGAGCAGCTCACATCTCCCCTTCTCCTCATGCCCCACTCTCCAACCTCCTCCTCTCTCGTCCTCCTCCTTTTCCTCCTCCTCCCCCTCCTCCTTTTCCTCCTCCTCCTCCTCCTCCTCCTAGAGGAGGACTCCTCCTCCTCCTCCTCCTCCTCCTCCTCCTCCTCCTCCTCCTCCTCCTCCTCCTCCATTGTGTATGACTCTGGGGCAGCGATTGTGCATGTCTAGCTAGCAGGCCATTTTGGGGCGCACGGCCGCCCATCACACTCTACGCCCATACTCGCACTTCACACTCGCACTGCACTCTAGCACCCCGCATTCGCCCCCACACTCACCCCCACGCCCTACGCCCACACTCGCACTTCACACTCGCGCTGCACACTCGCACCCCGCACTCGCACCCCGCACTCGCACCCACACTCTACGCCCGCACTCGCAATCCACACTCGCACTTCGCACTCGTACCCCGCACTCGCCCCCACACTCGCCTCCCACACTCTACGCCCACACTCACCCAATACAGTAAGCCAACACGGTCACCCAGCACAGTCGCCCAACACAGTCGCCCAACGCAGTCACACGACAGAGTCACCCAAAACAGTCACCAAACACAGCCAGTCAACACAGCAGCCCAACACAGTCGCCCAACGCAGTCACCCAACAGATTCGTCCGACGCAGTCAACAGACACAGTCACCTGACGCAGTCACTCAACACAGTCACCCAACACAGTCGACCAACACAGCCGCCCAACACAGTCGCCCAGAGCAGCCACCCAGCACATTTACCCAACGCAGCCACCAAACACAGACACCCAATGCAGTCGCCCACCCAATTCTTCCAACCTCCTCCTTGTCCTTCACAGGGTCAAAAACTCAGTGCCCACCGCCCTCCACGGGGCTGCACTCGTATGCTGGACACGTCGCTCGGAGAATTGTGACGCACCCCAATGTAATGCTATCACAAGTACTTCTTGGAACAGATACAAGCATGTCGTGCACTCCACACCGGAGGGACGGAACCAAAGACTTCGCCGCTTTAGCTCGTGCCGTGTGTAAGAGTATAAACTTGCGCGGTACTACTGGGTGGAAGACGGTCAAGATTGGATGAAGGCGGCCTGAGAAGAAAAAAAAGCGTGGAGACGATCGGAGTGATGTTGTAGAGTGGCGGCTAGGTGATACATCCTCAATTGCTGCCACCGCATCAAGGCAGCTGAATATGCGGGTGCTGTGGACGGCTGTGCCTCCGGGTCGTCTAGAGCAGGTAACAGCACTACCCTCCACGATGATGGATTGGGACGGTGTGTGTGTGTGTGGGGAGAATGCCAGCGCAGTCCGTATCGTAGTCCTTCCTCGCCATCCTCCTAGACGGCAGCGCGCTGGGATGGCGGCCCTCTGCTGCATGAGTGTACTAACCCGTCGCAGTCTTGTCCTGACTGCGGGACGGCGCAGGCGGGGCTCAGATCTGGAACCGTCGTGGACCTCACTCGGCGAGAGGCCCGCTCAGCTTCGGCGGTCCGACGCCATGCAGAACCATGCGGGGTTGTCCCTTCGTCGGCACGGAAGGCGTCATGACGCAACCGGCATCGTTACATGACAACGCGTTGAAGTTTAAGCAAAGCTGCGCCAATCATAAGATTGGAAACAGTGCGACCCCAAGTAAGAGTCTTAACTTTCCCAGCCGTTCAAAACAGTTATGACTAGCACAAGCACAAAACAATGCGATGCAAACCCTTGCTGGTCATTGCCTTGTGTTGCTTGGCATCGCTTGGAACCGTTGCTCGGAATCGTTGCGTGGCAGTGCGTTCCATTATTTGTCATTGTTTTGTACTGTTTTGCTTGGCGTTGCTTGGCTTCGCGTGGAGCTGTTGCATGAGTTTGATTGGCCCTGTCTGGCATTGCGCAAACAAGCAGCCTGGGCAACCCGACCCCGGACACCTCCAATGAACGGCAGGCAACCAGGCAACAAGGCAACCCGAGGAGCCCCAGAGCCGCGTCCGACAAACGCCGCCACATTCACTGGATCCTTCAGATACAAGTCAGGCACCCTTTCGGCAAACCACAATTGGGCAATTGGCCAGAGACGGACTACACTCATTGCAAACCAACGCGTTGAAGGACCCGCAGTACCGTTGAGAGGTTCGCCAAAAAAGCGTCAGGCCACAATCAAATATTCCCCATTCGCGGCATCGTACATGCGATTCTAATCATAAGCCGAAAGGCGACCGCGAGCATACCGAAAAACAAAAACGACGGGGGCAGAACACACGGAAGAGGAATCACTTGGGATATTCTGAGTCTGAAAAAAAACAGCTCTGCGCGCTAAGTGCTCCTTACAGAACACAGAACAACACTATGCGCGTTATGATGAAACAGATCGCTGCGCTGATGGCTGCAGATGTCCAAATGCATAGCGGGCAAGTAGGTGAGGAGGGGATGTGAGACTGACAAAGGTTAGCGCCATGCGCTGCGTGACGCCCCAGAGTGCTATGATCTGCGATCGAACAGCGACGCGCGCCTGATGTCGGGGCAGCGCCGCTCGCCGTAGGAGCTCCTGCTTGAGATTATGTCGCCGCCAGGTGCAGGCGTCGCCGCCCGCGCTATCGAAGTACCAGTGCTACGCACAGGATCGCGACTGCAACTGCTCGCGAGTGCCGTCTTCAGTCATGCACAGAAGCTTTGCGAGACCGAGCTCGTGTGCCAAATTTTTGGCCTCTTTCCTGCAGCGGTCCGTGCGGGTGCCGACAACCCGAAGGCGGGCGGCCGGGTCCGCTGGTGGTCCCCGGGGTACTGGAGACAAAGTGTGGACCCTTGCCGCTGTGCCTTCCAGGAGCCCACGCAGGTGGCGGCAGTTTGGTACTTGCAGCCACCAGGGACGGCAAGTCCTCACCCTGATCTGCGTATGACACACCCCCAGCGTGCCTCCCAAGAGCCCGATCAAGTGGCGGCAGTTTCACAGGCCCCAGGAGACGGCCGTCACTCAACTGGACCCTTTTCACCCCGGGAGCCCAGGACAATGGCGACACTTTCGCCTTTGCAGCCCCCGGGGACGGCTAGGTCTCACTCTGATTTGCGTGAGACGTCACCCCGTTGGACCTCCAGGAACCCGCCAAAGTGGCGACAGTTTCGTAGCTCGCAGCCCCCAAGGGATGATAAGGTCTCATTCTGATCTGCGTAAGACGCCACTCCGCTGGACCCCCCCAAGAGCCCACGAAGGTGGCGACAGTTTCACCGCTCGCAGTCCCCAAGGCAGCGCGAACAGGAGGAAGGATAAAAGGGAGGAGGGGGATGCGGAGGAGAGGAGGGGGAGGAGGAGGAGGAGGAGGAGGAGGAGGAGGAGGAGGAGGAGGAGGAGAAAGAAGGGAAGCTAGAGGAGACAGGAGGAGGATGTGGAGGAGGAGGAAGAGCAGGAGGAGGAGGAGGCAAGAGTAGGACGACGCGACCATTGTGCTTTATCTGACCACGGAAATGGCGGCAGCGTCGCAATTCACAGCCTCCCAGGCAGGAGAGAGCGAGAGGAGGAGAAGTAAGCAGAAGGAGAGAGGAGGAAGCAGGAGGAGAGAGTGGTGGAGCAAGCAGGAGAGGGTGGAACATGAAGCAGGAGGCAGAAGCAGGAGAACAAGACGACGGGCGAGAACCCACCCAAGGGATGCTTTGCAACACGCATGTGAAGAAGACTTGTGTGTTTGGGTGTATCCATCTCTCTCTCTCTCTGTATATCCCTCTCTCTCTGTCTCTCTCTCTCTCTCTTTCTGTCTCTCTCTCTCTCTCTCTCTTTCGTTATTTCTTTGTTTCTGTCTTTCTTTTTTTCTTTCTGTCTCTCTCTCTCGCTTTCTCTCTCTCTCTCTCTCTGCGCGCCGCCTGGAGGGCGCGAGCGGTCCCGAAGGCCGCGGACGCCCCGGCCGTGTCTGCCCGAGGGGGGGCGCCTCTCGCGCCCCGCTCGGGCACCCCACCATCACTTCAGACGACGGGCGGCGGCGCCGTCCGAGCCCACGTGGCGACGAGGACCCAAAACAGGGACCGACAGGAGCAAGCGCCTCTCGAGACCCCACCGGACCTCAGAAGCCACGCGCCCCACCCCCGCGGGGACGGCCCGATCGACCCAAAAGCCAAACCAGGAGGGGACGGGGACAGCCCACCAGGGCCGCCCACCTCCCCGCACCATCGGAACCAGAGGGGGCTTCCAAGGCGCGCCGCCCACGGCCCAGAACCGACCAGCAATTCGAGCCGAGCCCAGCGGCGGCGCACAGCGCAAAAGCCGCACAATCAGTCGGCTACGACATGGCCAGGTGAGAGCGTGGATCGCGCAGCGGTATCAGCAGCACCTCGCGGCCGCCTCCGCTGCTTCCGCTTCGCCTTGGCCGTTTCAGACCTCCCCATGTCGTCGACCGCCTCCCGAAGATCGTCGTCGGCAGCCGGGGCGTCGCGCCCGCCCTCCGCCAAGGCCGTCCTGGCGATGGCGAACCAGTCGCCCGCTGTGCCGACCTCCTTCAGGAAGAGGGGCGGCACGGTGGCCACCGCCTTCCGCCGTGCCGCGACGCGCGTCCGCGCCTCCTTCTGGAAGGCAGCCTGGTAGGCGATCCACCCGCCGTCCCGACCGTCCTCCGCCTCCGGAGGCGCCGCGCCCGCAGCTCCCGCCGGCTCTCCAAAAGGCACCGGGGCGTCGCGCGAGTCGACCGCTAGGTCAGCCCAGCTCGCGCATGGCGCGGGTTCCGCGTCCACCCCCGTGTCGAAGCCGCCGTAGGAACTCTGCGCGACCTCCTCCACCTCGTGGAACAAATAAAAAATTCGCCGTCGTCCGCTACCGTCGCGACGCGCGAGGCCCCCATGTGGCCCGCCCGCGCGCCCCTGGAATTCTGAGCGAACTACGCGTTCAGAATGGCTGCCTGCGCCGCCTGCCGCAGCTAGGAATCGCCGCCGCCAAGCCTGCCGCCGATGCCCCCGCCGCCGTAGCCGCCGACGAAACCCCAGCCACCGATGCCCTAGCCGCCGTCTGGCCCCCACGGCCGTCCAGCAGGCATCGATCTCCTCCTCGCCGAGGCCCTGGAGCTCCGTCCAGTCGAGGCCCTCCTGGTCCTCCGCGCCAGCGATGTCGAAGACCTCGGCCTCGGTGGCGCTGCCGAGGTCGCGCGCGCCCTCCAGCCCCGCCGCCCTCACGAGGTCGGCGGCGCCAGGGTTGCAAGACCCCGCGATGCCCTCGACACCGCTCTGCCTCTCCGTCATGCTGCTCTCCTCGATGTCGCGCGTGCTACCCAAGAGGGTCCGCATCGGTCGCGTCCGTGACCTCATCCTCCGTGCCGAAGGCCGCCTCGGCGCCCTCGGACCCTTCCTGGGCCCCGCCCGACGTCCGCTTCCACGTGCTGGACCCGCGACTGCGTGCGTCGGCGACCCGTGCAAGCCCTCGAGCAGCTGCTTGCCCACGGCCTGGCCAGCGCTCGCCGCCTCGTCGTTGCCCTCTTCCTGCTCGGCGAGCGCCGCCATCACGCGTTCCGCCGCGCTGGCCGTCGGGTGGGCGACGGCGCGCCGCCCTGCCCTCAAGGGCCGGCCCCTCCTCTGGCCATCGCTCGGACGTCCATTCCCCGTGTTTTTTTTGTCGGTTTCGTGCGTGGGTTTTTTCGCCAAATGATCAAGGATGCTCTTCGATGGTCCTCGCCGAAGGAAACATGCACACGTCCGAGCGATGCCAAGCCTCCTTGGCGAGGCTGCCCTTCCCCACGCGCTGGAGGCTGCGACGCGCGTCCTCCGTGGTCGCCTCGCCTGGGAAGCCCACGCTGCGCCCCGGCCTCGCGCAGCGCCTCGCCGAAATGGCCGAGGGCGCCGCACGCGCGGCAGGGCGGCGCCGGACAGGCCCGCACCGCCGCCGCTGCCGCCGCCTCCGCCGCCGTGCGGAGCAGCCACTCCTAGGAGGAGGAGGAGGAGGAGGAGGAGGAGGAGGAGGAGGAGGAAGTCTATCCACCTCCCTGTGACCCCTTCCGCAGGCCCGCGGCGAGGATCACGAGCAGGACCGCCGCCACCGCCGCCGACGCATCGCCAGCACCCGCCACAGCCGCCGACGCATCGCCAGTAGCAGCTATCGCCTGACTCATCCGGGCCCCCGCGCCAGCCAAGGGAAGAACCCCGCCCCCTCGACATTCAGCCCAAATGGCTACGGATCTCTCTCTCTCTCTCTCTCTCCGTTTTGGTTGTCAGCGTCGCAATGCTGGAGGCGGGAATACGAGTCATCCCAGCACCCAGGCGCGACGAAAGACGGACCAACAGACCCACATGCAATCAAACCGTTCCAGCGCCAACGTGCGACCAATCTGAGGATATCAGTCCCTCGCAACTCTTGCAACGTGCGTGAAGTTCGGTGCGGCACGACCGAAGAGGCGACTGGCACGGAGGGGGCAGTCTCCAGCGCCGCTGGCTCCAGGTGCACCACGTTCACCTTCCAAATGGAGTGTCGCTTCCTCCTCGCTGCTCGTCCCCCCCTCAACCTCCCATACTCCTAACGCTGCTGCTGATATTGACCTTGTTTCTGCTCCTCCTCATGCTGCTGCTCGGCATCATTCACCTCCGCCTTACTCCTCTTCGTACCCCTTTCTCTCTCCCTCCTCTTTCCTCCTCCCTCCTCCTCCCCCATCCCCCATCCCTCCGCCTGTCTTCTCCTTACACCTCGTCACCTCCTGCTCCCCCCGCTCCCTCGCCAGGCGAGCCGACATCAAGCAGGTCAAACGCATGACATCTTCAACTTCCGCCGAATATTTGTTCCTCGGGGCACCTCCCCCCGCTCCCGCCCCCATTCCCTCCCCCCCTCCACCTCCCCTCTCTGCGCACGTGTCGCCCCTCTGTCCACGTCACCTCCTTCGGGCGGGAGGGGGGGAGGGGGGAGGGGGAGAACAAGCATGCCGATCCCGCAACTTCTCAGACATCTCCAGGGGTCAGTTCTGGCCGGAATGTTTGGAAGCGGGCCAAGTCGTGGCGGTCAGGATAGGGCCGCGGAACATCTGTGCAGCTTCGTCTCCCGAGTCCTTGCTCCCCAGCCTCCCGCTCAGCCTAGTCCCCCCCCCCGGGTGTCCCCGACTCCACCAGCTCGCCGCCCCGCTCGCCGTCCTGGTCCCCTCCCCCCTTTGATGTGCCCTCCGCCCGAACTACAGTGCGGGTGCGGCCGCAAGAAACCCTCGCAAGAAACCCAACCCTGAAAACCCGCGCGCGAGGTGCATCCGAGGGGAAGCCCGGAGAACCCCGAACGCAGCAGATTCTTCAACGGCTGCGGGAAGCCACCGCGCAGCGCGCGGAGCGAAGAAGCGGCTACCCGGACGAAAAGCGCATGGTTTCTCGATGCGCGCCCCCACTGTAGGCCTGTACGTGCCCTCCCCCTCTGCGTGCCCTCCCCGGAACTGCCCTCCGCCCGGACCTCCCCCACTCCTGTGCCCTCCGCCCCCTCGGATTTGGACGCCCGAAATGGGTACCGACAAAAATGGGTACCATGCCCAACAGCAAATGTTGTCCCAAACCAACAGCGGCCGCCGTTGGGCAGGCGGCCTCCTGCCTCGAACGGACACAGGCCGCGGCGGCGTGGACAGCGAGCCCTGCTCAAAATGAACAAGATCCGCTGTTGGGCATTGTACCCATTCTTTCAATACGGCAGGTTCGTGTCGTGCCGACCCCAGCGTTGGTTTTTGACACCGCAGGGATCGTTCAACCTTGAACGATCGGCCGCTGCCGCAACGTCCGATCGCTCAACATCGATCGATTCTGGGTCGCCCGCGGCGTTCAACCTTGAACGCCCGCGCTGGGGTCGCCGCTGGTCGACACGACGCAAACCTACCGTACCCATGCCGTGCGTGCAGATCGGACAGCGGGGCTCGAGGAGGACTGCGGCCGGGCCGTCTGCTTCTTCTGGTACTCGCGGAGGTACTCCGACATCCTCGGAGGAGGCCCCCCCCCCCTACGCGAAGGCCGGATCTCCACAGTCCGACCACCCTCTCTCTCTCTCTGTGGCTCCTTTATCGCTCTCCTTGCTTGCCCTGCACCTCTCTCTCTCTCTCTTTCTCTCGATGCTCGCTCTCTCCCCCTGTCTCTCGCAAGTTGCATGATTGATGATCCCCACTCTCCCTCCACATGTGATATGGTAGGTCTCTCGAGATTCCCCTCCCCTTCCTCTATGAACACTGGGCGGGCGAGCAGAGGGAGAGGGGGGCGGGCGAAGCGCGACTGCCCCACTGCGCTTCCCTGCGGGGCGAAGCTCAAGCCGGGCCTGTCCCCGTACAGGAGGGGGGAACCTTCGACGAAAAATAACAAGTTGTCGAACAATACCCCAGAAGGGTCAACAAAATGCTCCAGAAATGGTCCCCGGACTATTTGTTGTGACTATTTTTGAGCATTCCTCCTGTAGAGGGACAGGCCCGACTTAAGGCTCATCTGGACACGTGGGGGCTTCTGGAGAAAAATGAATAAAAATGGCCTCGAAGAAGGCGCAATGATGCTTCGGCGGTGGACAGGCCTCCCTTTCGCAAAAACCTCCCCTCAGGGAAATCGGCCTGGGGCCGAAGCCGACGGACCTGGGCCCGCAAAAACGACGGCCGCGACGCCCTCTCGCGAAGCAAAAACGGCCAAACCTCCGAAACGCGCCTCGAAGAGACCCAAGACCGCTCCGAGACAGCTCCATGTGGCCACGGCCACGGGGGAAGCGTGAAGATGGAGGGACGGCCCAATAACGTTGCTGCTCCCGTCGCGCTGAAGGACCACATCCCAGAAGTGATTCCGGCCACCCCAAAAAATGTCGAAACAGCGCCGAAAGAGTACCGCATCCCGGGGCCCGCCACGTAAGACCCCTCAGATTTCGGTACTTGCCTGGAGCTCGAAATTGTTTCTGGTGGTCAAGGCTAAAGTAGGTTGGAACATCATAAGACTACCTAATTACCAAATCACCCCAACCTGACCCGAAGACCCGAATTTCGGGTTGGGGGGGGGGCGTAACGGGTTCATGTTTTCGTTTCAGTGTTCCCCGACCCCCCCCCCACACACTGGGAATGAAGGGCAACTTGGGGCCTTCGGGTTGGGTTGGGGTGGTTTGGTGGGTGGTGAGGACAGGAGGGGGAGGGGTGGATAAGGAGAAGCTGCGACCAGGATTAGATCTGGTAAAGAAGATGAATCGAGAATCTCTGAGATCCGGCGGACCTGCAAGATGTCTCGGGCGCCGCGGCCCTCTCAGAGCGTTCCGGAACGCTCTGAGAGCGTTCCGGAACGCTCTGGAACGGAGATGTCTCCTCGTCCTGGCCCCGCCCGAATGGAGGGAGGTAGGGAAAAGACACGGGGAGGGATGGAGGGGGGGCTGGGGGAGGAGGAGGAGGAGGAGGAGGAGGAGGAGGAGGAGGAGGAGGAGGAGGAGGAGGAAGAGGAGGAGGAGGAGGAGGAGGAGGAGGAGGAGGAGGAGGAGGAGGAGGAGGGCCGGACGAGCAGGGGGAGAGAGGACAGCGGCGCGCGGGAGGCCAGGGGCCCCAGGGAGGCGAGGGGAGGGCGTGCGGCAGGCACGGGGTCCCCTCGAACGGCGTGTCGTCGAGGATCCTGCGGCCGGCCGGCGAGCGGAGGAGGCGCTCGCCCGCGCCACGAGGGCGGGGGCTGCCAGGGTGCGTGCGGCGCGACCAGGCACCACGGCGGCCCTCGTCCGACGAACCCCCCCCGCCCCCGCTCCCCCACTCCCACCTTCTCGTCCTCCGTCCTCCTTCTCCTCCTCCTCCTCCTCCTCCTCCTCCTCCTCCTCCTCCTCTACATCTGCCTTTCCCGTCCCCCTCCTCCTCCCTCCACTGGTCCTGCTCCTTCTCGTCCTCCTCTTCCCGATGACCCCCCCTCTCCCTTTGCCCCGCATCGTCATCATCGTCCTCAGACTGATCCCCTTCTCCTCCTCATCCTCCTCCTTCCCGTCCATCCCTCATCCTCCTCCCACTCTTCGCTCAGCCACCTCCTCCTCCTCCTCCTCCTCTTCCTTCTCCTCCTTTGCGTCCACCTCCTCGTCCGCCATATCATCCGTCCTCCTGCAAAGCAGACTAAAAAAACGAGTCTGGATGTCCATGCATGCGTGCTGCATTCTCACGCTAGAGGCCTGCGGGCACCACAGTCATGCGCAAGCTCTTACACATAAACATTCAGACGCGCACTCGTTGCCTCGTGCACGCCGCGATCACAAGCTGGTGACCAATGCAGACCTGTGTGGCCTGAGTGCACAAGAGAACTTGCGTGGACAATCACAACCCCGTGTGCACCACGTACTTGCAGAACCGCACACATCTGGTGTTTCCTTCTCCAGCGCTGTAAATGCCACGAACGCTTGCAATGTGGAAGGAGACGCCACATGAAATTGCATACGCGCAAGTGGTGGACGTGCTCGAGCCCAACTGCTTGGTCCCGAGTGAGGGGCGAGCGCATCGGGCAGGAGGACGCAATGGGGGCAGGCACAACAAAAGGGGAGCATGCACGAGCGGAACATGTGCTGAGACATGCGGAAAGGGCAAGTGTCCCACAAGCTGGCAGGTTGGAGTCAAAACAGGGCACGACATGGGCTGCGAAATGCTCTGGGCCCCCCCCAACAATTTCATGCGGTTTGTCATCTGCGACAGCTCGGGATGCGCACCCAGGGCAACCCGCGGCGGGGCCCCACTCGCAGGTGACCCGGCTCGCCCGCCGGCAGCCGGCAGGCACGGGCGGCACGGGAGATCTGGGCAGGGGCACGGGGTTGCCCGCGCGAAGCTGCCCGCGCCAGAGTTGCCCGCGCGGAGTGGGATTGGCGCCAGGAGCGGCCACGCGAAAAGGCACCCCCAAATTGAGGCCCCAAGCTCGTTTGCCAGCGCCAAGGCCCGCCTGCGAGCGTCGCCAAGAGCTAGAAGCCGCTTGGGTCGCATGAAGAGCTCGCGGGAACAATCTCGGGCGGCATTTCGTATGGCATTCGTGCTGGAGTTCGTGCCGCACTTCGTGCCTTCTTTCGTGCTCGGGCGGAGTACTTTCGTTTCGTGCGATAGTAATTTCGCGCTCGTGCGGGGACAAATCGTGATCGCGTGAGAACAGTCTCGTGATCGCGAGGCCGCAATTGCGTGCTCGTGCAAGAGTGCAGCACGACGGCCAACTACCAGGGGATCGATTGGAAGAAATGCGGGGCAAGCACTCCCCTTCATGTTCGGCAACGGCACCTGCGCACTCAGAGCAAAACCCTCTTTTCGCTCAGAGGATTTCGTGCACGTCCCCATTTTCTTACACCAAGAAGTGGACACCTCTGACGGGTGGTGTTGCACCCAGGGAAGGTGGAAATGAGACGCCAGAGGAAGGAGAGCGACCCGGAAAGTGCCCGCCGACCCAAGCGAGTGCGGCAAAGGTGTGGGGGAACATTAGAGGAGGGGACGGGCTCAGGGGGGCAAGCATGGAGCTGCAGTCAGCGATACATGGCCGACAGATCGGCGATAGGCCCTCGATAGCGAAGCCCCGCGCTCCTGGGCGGGGTGGGCAATTCGGCCCCTGCCCGCGATGCATGGGCGATTGGAGGTCGATGCCTGCATCCCGCCTGAGCCCAGCTCCCCCTGCGTCGGGCTCTGCAGGGTCCTGCAGGATCCTGCACCCAAGCCTGGGCAGATGGGGGGAAGACGTTCAGCGTTCAGAAGTTAGGAGGGGAGGGAGGAAGGGGGGTCTCTGCCTCTCTGCCATCGGCGCCGCGCGGCGCCTGGTGGCTGGCGGGCGCGCGGGCTAGCGCGCAAGCATCCGGGCTAGAACAACGATGTCCCCGCCTGGCGACGAACGATGTGACCCAGATGATGATGATGATGATGATGATGATGATGATGATGATGATGATGATGATGATGATGATGATGATGATGATGATGATGATGCTGATGATGCTGATGCTGATGCTGATGATGATGCTGATGATGATGCTGATGCTGATGCTGATGCTGATGCTGATGCTGCTGATGCTGATGCTGATGCTGATGCTGATGATGCTGATGATGCTGATGATGCTGATGATGCTGATGATGCTGATGATGCTGATGCTGATGCTGATGCTGATGCTGATGATGATGATGATGATGATGATGATGATGATGATGATGATGATGATGATGATGATGATGATGACTGACCTCCGCTTGCATTGACCCCCGTCTCTTGAGCCCCAGCCACCAGAGAGCGGCGGACCATCGCAGGCCCGGGCGAGCAGCCCGACGGGGCTGGAGAAGAGGCGCTGGCCGAGGCGGCGACTGCCGACGCAGCGCAGGCGACTCTGGCGGTGAGCAGGGCGGCCTGGCCCATCCCGCCCTGTGTCAGTCAGATGGAGGGGTCGAGGCCCGACTGGCCTGGGTCAATCCAGACCCAGGCCAATCGGCTGCAACCACGGGCAGCATCAGACCCACTTCAATCACACGCCTGCGCACACCACGCGCGCAAACCTGGATACACCACAAACGCACGGCGGGTGCACACCGCAGGCCTACGTAGAAAAGAGTGCGCCTGTGTACACCGCCAGTGCACGCGGACACATACTTGCCCCGATACACCTTAAGCACATGGGCCTGTGCACACAACAACACCAAGGGCCGGTAGATCACAGAAGCACTGCCTGTGCACACCACCAACAGCCTGTGCGCACCACAGGCATACGCAAGCCGCCGCGGGCCATTGTACACCAAAAGACAAATGTACACACGCGTGCCTGCGCACACAATGGAAGCACGCCAGTAAACACCACAACGCACGCCTGCGAACATCGCGATCACATGGACTGGGCACCACCGGGCCCCTGTACACTGCGGGGCGGGCGTGCATCACCACAGGCACGTGTGCAAAACACTATTGTGTCCACAGACGCCCAGACCTCCTTAACTGAAGGGGCCCTGGGACACACACATAAATACACACAAATAACAAGATTCTCCATATTATCCTACATTTTATGGGTTTTTGTCTTCCCCCCCACGTCCCATATGTTCCTATAGTTTCTGGGAAATCGACGACAAATTGTGTCTATGTGTTTTTTCCCCTCTTGATTAACACCAGAGGCTTCAACAGGGACGCGCAAACACAAGAGAGAATCATAGCCCTTGGTGCCTGGGCGCCCGTCCCCTGTAGAGCGGGGGTCCTATTCTCCGGGCCCTTCCACGGCGTCGACGGCCTGGCGCCCTCGTGGGTCTTGAATGCCTGCTGGCACCCAAAAGCAGTAGCAGGATATCGGAATGCGGAACGGGACGAGAGAGGAGGATGAGGATGAGGAGGATTGCGGAGATAATGAATGCACGAGTGATGTACGCGCGCGTTGCAGCAATGCGCTGGGAGTGAGCGAATGAAAATCAAACCGATGTTGGCGACACGGCAATTCAGACCGTGCCAGTACTTGCTGTGGGTGCAATGCTCGTGTCGACTCCCTTTCAACCTCAGGGGGCGACGCTGCAGGCGACGGCGCCCTTCGCACCAGAGAAACGCCGCTCACGGCATACGTAGAACAGTCTACTCTTCACGGACTTTTGCGTTGCATGGCTTGCTCTTCACCAATCATTCCGCCGTCGTTCACTACAGTGGCGGACATCTAGATCTCGGGCTGCTACATGCATGGATGCGACGTCCGAAATCGCAATCTTGCTTACGATCCCGACTATCCAGTGCCCAGCATTTACATGGCTGGCACGTAAGCTCCTTTCAACAGTGGAGCCTCCGAACACTTCACGAAGCCGAAGGTCAACGCTCCCAACAACTACACGCATGGAGGCGTTCCCGTGTCAAACTCCTTTTCAATTCCGCTGGTGATGAGCGGCTGTTGCTCGAGATCGAACTCTCGCCCTGGCGCCGCAGTCATCACGCCACCCGCTGCAGCGACGAACGGGAGACGGCAGTCCCCCCTCGCGAACGCAATTGCCTTGCATCCTGGCGGCCATACTGTCATCACGCATCCAATCTTCGCAGGGCAGGCCCCTGCGTCCGAGCTACAAACTTCAACCCAAAATCGGTCGCTCCCATCCACACTCCATCGGACCATCAGAGTCAATCGGGATACCGGGTTATCTTACATTCAACCCTAACAGAATCCTCAAGCCGTGGCAAACGGCCACTTCACCATCTGGGAGGGCGTTCGCCGTAGTGGCAGAAACTGTAATATTGCCCGCATGTGCCTCCGAGGACTGGACCTGGGACGGCAAAGTGCCCTGCAGGGTGAGTAATGATGTGTGCTGGGATTTCCCGTCTTCCTCTTCCGAGCATTCCCTATCTTCTGCAGCCCCTCCCCAACCATCCCTAACACACATACACACTCACACATACACACGCACTTTTTCCGTCGGCGGCGAGGCAGAGGCAGTCCGCTCCAGCGTGTGGCTACTCGGGGCGACTGAAAGGCGAGTTGACGGGCGTGCAGGAGGAAGGAAAAAAACGAGTCGGCCGCGCGGGGGGAGGAGGGGGGGAACGCTCAGACGTGGAAAAGTTTCGCGTCGAGCGGGCCGGTGCGGCTAGCCGAGGCAGCGGGTGCCGCAGCAGTGGCCAGGGACATGAGGCCAGGGCGCACCCAGGAGCGCTGCCAAGGCGCAGTGACGATGGCAGGCAAGCCTGGCACCAACCCGGGAGTCCGAGCCCCTCTCACATACACGTACACACACACACACACACACACACACCGCTTCCCCTTCCCCTTCGCCTACCCGCGCTCCTCCCCCGCACCGCAGCCTCTGCCTCCGCATCCCGTCACTTCTGTTCGCTTCGGCGGTGGACAAACCTCCCTTTAGTAAACCTCCCCTCAGTGAAAACGGCCTGGGACCGAAACCGACGGACTTGGACCCGCAAAAACGACGGCCGCGACGCCCCCTCGCGAACCGAAAACGGCCAATTCCTTACTCGACGTGTCAGGGCAGGAGGCATACCCTGACCTTCCAGAGAGCCTTTTTTTTGTTTAGCACGGGAGGCCGAAAGACCCAAAAAGCGAAACGAAACAGCCTGAACCCAAGACATATGATAGCTCTGGGATAGGATTTTAAGTCGCGTGCCATCGCTCCTCCTCCCTGCACAGCCGCCGTGCTGCCAGACACAGGGAGCGCCGGAAACAGGCACCGACATGGCTCCCTCCAGGTCACGGCGGGCCTCTCTCGGCCCGGAGGGCCTCTCTCCCCGACCTGCAGCGGGGGCTCGACCGCAGGAAAAACCTTCCACGGGAGACCCAACCCTGAGACCCAAGGGCGCCCCTCCTCCTCCTCCTCCTCCTCCTCCTCCTCCTCCTCCTCCTCCTCCTCCTCCTCCTCCTCCTCCTCCTCCTCCTCCCTGCCGTGGGGCCCGCCTAGGTGTGGGCACGCCGCGCCCTCCACCGCAGAGCCATCGGCGCCCGAGAACTAGGCCGGGGCACCCTGGAGGCGAGCGGGGCGCCTCTTGGCACGGCCCCCCCGCGGCAGCTCTGGGGAGCGGCCCGCGAGCCAGAGCAGCTCCGGAGCCCGACAGGGTCCGGATCTCGGCGTCTCGACTGCACCTTTATGTCGGGCGTGTCCCCCTGCAGGGGGATTTTCGAGGAAGAATAAAAAATAGCCCAAAAGTGCCCCAAAAAGGCAAAACAATTCTAGAAAAATAGCGCTGAGACCATTTTTGGATCACTTTTTGACTAACCCCTCCCCGTGAAAAGGAAGTTCGGCCTCCGCGCCCCCGCGCCCCCGACCAAACTCTAATTGGTCGACGACAAAAAAACTCTAACTACTTAAGGGGGGGGGACATAATTATCGTGGGCATGGGGTTATTGTGTCCACAGACGCCCAGACCTCCTTAACTGAAGGGGCCCTGGGACACACAAATAAATACATACAAATAACAAGATTCTCCATATTATCCTACATTTGATGGGTTTTTGTCTTCCCCCCCACGTCCCATATTTTCTTATATTTTCTGGGAAATCGACGACAAATTGTGTGGGCATGGGGTTATTTTGGGTGTATTTTTCAGTTCTCGTCCAAAATCCCAACTTGTAGGGGGGCAGGCCCGACTTGACTGCACCTCCCCGCCCTGCCCCCCGGAGAGCCGCGCCCTCTGCCCCCGCAAAGGCCTGCGCGTACGTGCTCTCCCCCTCGAAGGGGGCGTCGTTCCAGTGCCTGGCGCACGGCGGCCGGGTGCCCCCCCCCCCGACTTCTCCGCGCCATTCCCCCCCTTCTCCCCCTACTCCAGATCTCGTAATAAAAGGGAGGGGGTCTGGACCCTCCAAGACGAGCCATTTCAGACCCCCCCCCCCCGTGGGAGAACCCTCCCAAACACCGTCCCCAGACCCCCCCAGGCCCTCCAAGATAGCCTGGAAGAGACCCCCCCCCGAAATGAGACCCCCCTCCCTTTATTACGAAATCTGGAGTACCTTTCTTGAGCAGGGACCGGCCGTCCCGGCATTCCTGTAGTCGTACCACGACATGTTCTTGGAACCCAGGCATGTTCTAAGAACAAAACAATGTTCTCAGAACATAAACCCAATGTGCTAAAACAAGACAATCCCAACAAGAAATGTTCTAAGAACTTCTCGTGGAAACCACAGACGCTTCCTAGAACATTGCTGGTAGGGCTATAGGCGAGCCAGGACGCTTCGCCACTGCTTGACTTTAGGTCGGGCACGTCTCCATACAGGCCGACGTTCGACGAACAAAAAGGAAAACCGATGGAAGCCAGGCGCCACAGTTGCCGAGCCATGCTCGAAATATCGCCCCCCGACTATGATCTTTTGACTGCTTTTGAGTCTTCCTCCTGGAGAGGGGCAGGCCCGACTTCACCCTGCCTCCTCCTCTGGGCTTAGGATGTTCCAACCCACTCTAGCCTCGATCACCAGAAATAATTTCGAGCACCGAAAAGGTACCGAAACTCGAGGGTTCTCACGTGTCGGGCCCTGGGAGACACTCGCCCGACACTGTTTCGACACTCTCTCGACACTCTTCCGGGTGCTCGAAATTATTTCTGGGATGTGGTCCTTAAGTACGGTGGGAGCAACATAACTCTGGGCAACCACCCGCGACAGCGCAGGTCCTTCTCCGTCACCCTGCCCTACCGCCTCCCGGCCCGCCCTCTCCCCTCCCCGCCTGTCGCCTGCCTCCGTCGCGCCCCCCACCGCCGCCCTCCACTGCGTCTCCCCCGTCTGCCAGTGAGGGGGCGGCGGGGTCGTCGGCAGTCTGCGAGGCTCGGAAAAATCCCGCCGCAGGCGCCGCTTGTTCTGCACTGAGCAGAAAACGTAGATTGCACAACGAGCCCGCCGCAGGCGCCGATTTTTTCGTCAACGGTGTCGCGGGTGTGTCGCGGGGTGGGCCGCGGGGTGGGCTGCGCCCCGCCGCTCCCTCCCTCCCTCCCCGCATCCATCACCCCCTGCCCGATCACTCCTCGTGCCTTTCCTCCCTGGCTTTGTGCTGCTCCCACCGTACTGGAGAACCACATCCCAGAAATAATTTCGAGCACCCGGAAAAGTGTAGAAAAAATGTCGAAATAGTGTCGAAACAGTGTCGGACGAGTGTCTCCCAGGGTCCGACACGTGAAAACCCTCGAGTTTGGGTACCTTTTTGGTGCTCGAAGTTCTGGTGGTCGAGGCTAAAGTGGGTTGGAACATTATATATTATAACCCTGGCTCCTCCTCGAACCCGCTGCAACCGCACATTGAACACTGCCCGCCAGCAAACAAGCTGCTCTTGGCGCCCCCCTCCCCCCAAAAACTGCTCTGCAAGGCCACCCACGGCAAGGCAGTACACGTGCGCGCGCGCGCGGGGGGGGGTTCTCGAAGTTGGTTGCTGATGCGAACGCGGAGGGCGCAAGGTTGTCCGCCACCTCCAGGTCCGCGAATCTGCTCCAGATCGGTGCGTGCCCCCCCCACCCTCAGAGCTGCCCCAAGAGCTGTTCTTCTTCTTCGAATCCTTCGTCTTATTATTAATATTCTTCTTCTTCTTCTTCTTCCTCCTCTTCTTCCTCCTCCTCCTCCTCCTCCTCCTCCCCCCCCTGTGAAAGCGTCAGCTTCAATACTCTGAGGATGCTGGAGACCATACAGACCGCAAAGCGTGGCTAACTTGGAGGCCCCATGGGTGGCCTGGGCTTCTGGGCAGGAGGGAGGCGAGCGCGCGGGTTCGCCGGCAGGCCAGCTGCTTCAGGGCGGGAGGCGAAGGGGGGGGGGAGCAGCAGAGCAGTGACGGTGACCAGCCTACCGGATGGCGAAATCCGCCGACCCCCGCTTGCAAGGGGCGTAGAGGCGTGGGAGACGTTTGGCTGTCCCCCTCCCCCTCGCCATCGCTCGGACGTCCATTCCCTGTGCTTTTCTCGGTTTCGTGCGTGGTTTTTTGCGCCAATTGATCAAGGATGCTCCTCGATGGTCCTCGCCGAAGGAGAACTACGCCTCCGAGCGATACCAAGCCCCTGGGGTCCAAAATGCTGTTCGAGGGGGGGCGGGCGGTGGGAGGCGTGAGGGAACGAGCTCTTCAACGCACCCCTGGGGCCTCCAGAACCTCCAAGAATCAGGGGGACGTAAGACCTGGGTACAAGGGACTCGGAAATCCCCGACGAGGTCGTCAAAAAAATGACGAGGCCGAGCCTGCATTTTGACGAGGCCGCTGCAGACATCCCACGAAACTCCTCCTCGTCAAAATCCGAGGCGCGGTCGTCAAAAAACGATGGCGAACCCGAGTCCTGGCAAACCCGGGTCTTACGCTCCCCCGAAAGAAGCCTAAAGAGGGCCCCGCGACGACCCAAGATGACGTCAAGACGGCCTACAGTGCCCCCAAGACGGCCCCAAAGTGTTCCAAAAGGGCCACCGAGAAGGCCCCAAGAGGCAAACACTGTTTCATTCCCCTTGGAAAGTGTACATGTGTTGCACACTCGTTTTTTCGTCTTGACAGCTTCTAAGACTGCCCAAGGGACCCCCAAGATGGTCACAGAGGGTCCCAAGACGGCCAAAGAGTGCCCCGAGACAGCCCCAGGGTCCCCCCCAAGAAAGCCCAAGAGAGCCCCAAGAGAACCCAAGAGGGGAACTGCAAACGGACATGAGCCGTTACCCTCAAGATGGCCCCAGGAGCCCTCCAGAGGCTCCCGAGGCGCCCCCGAGAAGTCCCAAGAGGCCTCCAAGACGCCCCCAAGAGGTCCCCCAAGCGCCCCCCCGCCACCCCAAAGGTGCCCAAGAGCCCTCCGCGAGGCTCCGCAGATTCATCCAAGAGGTCCCTGGCCCACGGCCCAGGCACCGTGGCGGGCTGGGCCGAAGACAGCTCGCACGACCGCCGCCCGCTCTGACTCCCTCTGGGGCGGAGGAGGAGGAGGAGGAGGAGGAGGAGGAGGAGGAGGAGGAGGAGGAGGAGGAGGAGGCCGCTCGACTCAGGCAGCGCAGGCGCGTGGCAACAGTCAAAAGGGCCAGCAACGCTGCTGGCACGGCCTTGCAAACTCGGCACCCCGCCTCGCGCGTGCTTTTCCAGGAGCCGCTCGCAGACGGACGGAGGGCGGCCACGGGCGAGGGACGAGAGCTAGAGAGAGAGAGAGAGAGAGGCCGCGGAGCCGGGAGACGCGGGCGAGCAGAGGGGAGGGAGGGAGGGAGGGGAGGCAGGGGACGAGGAGAGAAGGGCGCGGCAGGCAGGCAGCGCAGAGGCGCAGACGGGGGGGGGTGCGCGAGGCCAACTTCCTGGCGCGCGCGCGCGCGGCGGCCGGCAGGCGCCCCGCGCACCTCTGGTGCACCCGCTTGGCGCGCTGCAGCTCCTCGACGGGGTGCTTCTTGTAGTCCTCTGCGGCGCGCGGGCATGGCGTGCGCATCGTCCGGTCGGGAAGTTGGCCGCGGGGAGCTGCGCGGGCGGCTGCGCGGGCGGAAGACGCAGGGGCTGGGGCACGACGCATTTTTTCTATTCAGCTTTCGGTTTAGAATGTCTTCATTTGCAACTATTCGGGATTCTGCACGCATGCCAAACAATGCATTCGCTCGTGCATTAATTTGTAATGCCACTTGTTTCGAGGGGCTGGGCTTGGGAAGGGGGGGGACGAAACTTGGATTGGGAGGGAAGGCGGAGGAGGTACCGGGAGAGATGGGCACGACAAAAGGCGATTCGGAGGGGATGGTTGCGGGAGTGGCAGTGGATGAGCAGAGGGGGGGGAAGCGAAAAGGGGACCAGAAGGACAGGAATAAAGGGGTCCGAAGGGGGGGGGCGGAAGTTGGGGCCGACGGAAGGCGAGAGAGGAGGCAGGCATAGACGAGGAAGGAGCAGGAAGAAGGCATAGATCATAGATGGATGGGACAGGAGGAGGATGGCAGAGACGAGGAAGGAACAGGAGGAAGGCATAGATGGATGAGGGAGGGGGAGGATGGATGAAGGGAGGGGGGACAAGGAGGGAGAGAGGGGGACGCCATGAGCGGAGGAGGAGGAGGAGGAGGAGGAGGAGGAGGAGGAGGAGGAGGAGCAAGAGGAGTGACCCGCGTCCACAGCGGGGAGAGGGTGGTCCCAGTCCACTCCTGCCCACAGACCGACCATACCTTCTGGAGGAGGAGGAGGAGGAGGATACGACGCTGGCTGGAGCGGACGCGCAGTGCACTGCCCGACACAACATAGCGAGGGCGGCGCGGACGCCTCCCTCGGGGAGCTCCGATCGCACCCACGCCCACCCTAGGGATCTCGGCGAAGGCGCGGAGCACAAAATTACCATGGAAAGTGAAGCGCGGGGAGCACTCTGCTGGCAGGTGCTCCGCTCTCGCGTCCACTAGGCCCCTTAAGACAATGGGGCGGGGCCCCCAAGGAGACTGACCCAGAGAGTCTCTGGGTCCCGAACATGGAGAGGACGAGGGGCAGGGACTCTCCTGGAGTCCGAGCGTCCCTCATCCGCGGGATGGTAGCCCGCCAGAACCTGTCGTCGGTTTCGTTGGGCCCTTTCCGACAGGCGGTGCGAATGGTCTTGCGAGGGGCAATGAAGCAGCAGGTGCCCAGCCGTACCCGTGGTAAAATACCCGCACGAAACACACAGGCACACATGGCCCGAAGAGACCCATAGGCGGTGACCCCGCGCGGCCCGAGCGGGGACGGGACCCGTTCCAGGGAGGGGTTCGGCTGGGACGGAGGAGTCAGAGAGGGATGGCCTGCACACCCTCCGATCCTGAGCATCCATCCTCCTGCGCTTCTCAGGCCTAAATGCTGGTCCAAAACGGGCTGGGATGGGGGGCGGCTGCACCTGGGCAGCGGCGTTAGCCTGCGCATCTCCAACATCATCCCATAAGGTGGCTACGGGCTCGAAGCCCACCCTTGGTCGAACCTGCCTCGCGGAGTCCCAGGAGGGGCTACGAGGACGAGCGAGGGAGGGCCTCTCGGCGAAAGAAGCAGAGGTAACCTCCCCAACGCGGGCCTCCAGCGGCTCGGGCTGACCAGTGGGCGGGGACCGCGTCCGAGGGCGCACCGACCGAACGGAGTCAGGAGCGCGAGGGGGAGGCACATCAGCACCGACAGAGCCAGCAGCAGCATGCAGGATCTGCTCCCCAGTGCCAGCCTGGCCGCTCGAGGCGTCACCAGAACGGGTTTTTTTGCAATCCTTCGGGTTTTTTTTGCAATCCTGGGTTTTTTTTTTTTTGCAATCCTGGGTTTTTTTGCAATCCTGGGTTTTTGTTTTGCAATCCTGGGTTTTTTTGCAATCCTTCGGATCGGCGTTGGGGAACTCCTGCCTGCTGCCGTCGGCGGCGCGCAGGCGAGCAGGGCAGGCGAACAGGGCGAGACGACGGGCCCCTTCCTGCTTCGAGCCCTTCTTGCAGCAACTGCAACGTCATACACCCTGCGAAATGCTTTAGAAATCATGGGTTAAGAAATTCATAGTCTCAGAACTTGAATAAAAAAACCCAACATTTCCATTCAAATCTTAGGATTTACATTGAAACGTTAAGAATAATCGAGACTCTGGCCGAAAACTTAGGTTTTCTTAAGCATCGCCTAAGGTGTATGCTACGGCCCGAAACCTGGACGAACACATGTCGAGGGTGGGCCGAAGTTCCCGCGGGCTCGCACGGCGGCGGCCGGCGACGAAACCGGACGCCACGAGGCCTCGCACGGGGCCTGGTGTCGATACGCTGGCCGCCGAAAAACGGGGCCAGGGCCGTGACGGCCAACCTGGGGAGACGCACGTATTCCAAATCCCTTATTAATCGTCCCCCGGGTCCGGTTTTTTAAGGCGCCTTTTTGGTCATTAAGGGGGTCCGGTTTATTTGGTCGCTTTCTTTGGATTGGAGCTGAGGGGGTCTGGTTTACTAAAGCGCCCCCTCGAAGAGGGGGTCCGGAATATTAGGTCGCATTTGGAGGGGGGTCCGGTTTTTTAGGGGGGGGGTCGATTAATAAGGGATTTGGAGTAGTTCTTGTGGCCGAGCCTCATGGCCTTGACATTAATCTTAGGGATGGCATGGCGGTCTCGGCCATGCCTGGCAGCGGGGTCGGCCCACCGATGCCCAACGGCATCGGCGTGCTGCCCTCGCTGGTGGCCTCGGGCCAGGGTAACTCTCGCATCGGTCCCTATCTCACCCAGGTCCTCCTCCTCCTCCTCCTCCTCCTCCTCCTCCTCCTCCTCCTCGCCCATATGCGATCCTACACATCCACATTGAGGCGCCTCGGGGCGCAACGCCATCGGGCACCCAGGGCCAGGCCATCAACAAGGCCTTTGAAATCGGTGTGCACACATATCGGAGGAATGCACACCTGGAGGACCTGCAGGGCGGCGTGTAGCTCGGCCCTGGGCGAGGACTGTGTGGGGCCTGGGAGAGCCCCAAACACATGAATGTTTACCCCCCGCCCCAAGGGCTGACGCAACCGACAGAAGACCCATCCTGCTCGGGACGCCTCAGGCCAATACCACATCCTCTGACAGGCTCGGTCCGTGTATACATCACCCGTGATCCCGTGAGGGTCCTCATATTGTATGTGCCATCACCCAGTGTTGTCACGAGCCGTGAGAGGTGGGAAGCACGAGCGACCGACAAGACAGTGGGACCAGAACATAGTGTCAGAAGCTTTTGTCAGGAAGCCGTCCACGCACATGGCGTTCATGTGCAGGTCCCGCGTTCTGACAAGATGCGGGTAGTCCCACAAAATGTGGCATAGGTCGCACGACTGGTGTCCGCACTTAGGGCAGGCGCTGTTGTCTCGATAGCCACAGGCAGCCAGGCGACCGGGCGTCCAGATGCCGCCGCCGAGCAACGTTCGAATGAGCCCTGCCTCCTTGTGGTTGGGAGCCCAAAATGTCCGAACAGGCTCGATCTGATCCAACGGTTCTCCATTCACACCATCAAGGGAAGTACGAATGCCGTCGTCTTCATCGCCAACGTCGGAGGAGTCGGAGGGAGGTGAGTCGGGGACCTCGACTTGACTAAGTATACGTAGTGCGGGCTCCATCCAGTAACCTGTGGGTTCTCGCGGTACCTGCAGATTACCAGGTAGCGGAGCCCTCAGGGCCCACCGTTCCCAAAGTCGTCGAACACCAGCTTCCCGAGCAAGTTGTTTGATAGTGGACGGCGCATCCTCCCTAAGATTTAGAGCCGCCCCAAGATCAGTCCTCCAAGTAGTGCTGCTGACGGTTGCCCATTGGAGCTCCTTGAGGGACATGAGGGTGGCCCCAGCGGGCCCAGCAATGTTCCTCCAAGGGAGTTTGGTATGGCACACCTTCTGAATCTGACGAACCCACGCAGCCTGGAGCACTGACTGGGGCACCATGGGGTCCCGTAGGAGCAAGGCCCACTGAAATAGGGGAGCAACCCAAGCTTCGACTTGTGGGTCGGTGGTGGTTGACCCCTGTAAGCACGCCGTGAGCCAGCAAGAGGTGCTAGCTCCAGGGGCATGCCATACTCCTCGTTGGGTGGCGCGCATCTGCTCCACAAACCTGGGCGGCGCACCGTGGACTCCCAGCCCGTACGTCACAGCTGGCGGAAGCGCCTGCTTATTAAACTTGCTGAGGAGCGGCCCCGCCTTGCGCAGGGCTTGGAAACGTTGCCCCTTGGAGCACTCGACCCGATGCCCTTCCGCCGCCCTACTGCTGGGCGGGCTAAGCCGGGGTCGTTTTGCGGCCTATTGCCGAGCGCGGTCCAGCTGCACGAGGCTGGCCGCGCTCTCTGAGGCTCCGCGCCAGAGCGGCCCGACAGGATGTCGAAGAAAAACAGACAGAGGAGGAGGAGGAGGAGGAGGAGGAGGAGGAGGAGGAGGAGGAGGAGGAGGAGGAGGAGGCGGAGGCGGAGGCGGAGGCGGAGGCGGGGCGGAAGAGGAGGAGGAGGAGGAGGAGGAGGAGGAGGAGGAGGAGGAGGAGGAGGAGGAGGAGGAGGAGGAGGAGGAGGAGGAGGCCGCCAGGAGAGGCGGCGGCGAAAGGCGGAGGCGGCCCTGGGCCCGGGGAGCGGCGGCGGCGGCGAAGGCGGGGCGCGGCGGCGGCGGCGGCGCGCGGGCGCGGGGCCGCGGCGTACGACGAGTAAGCCTCGAAGGGGGCCGTGTTGGGCTTCCAGGCGTTGGCGACTTTCCTGTCGGGGAGTGCCAGGCGGGGGGGGGGGGGGGGGGCTCGGGGGAGCAGGAAGCCCGAGGGGGCAGGGGGGGGGGGGGTTGGCGGAGGCTGCCCGCTCCTGACTGCGTCTCCTCCTCCCCCTCCCCGCCTCGCTCCTCGCTCTGCGCTCCCTCCCCCTCCTGGCTCCCTCCTCCTCCTCCTCCTCCTCCTCCTCCTCCTCCTCCTCGCTCCTCCTCCTTTTCCTCCTCCTCCTCCTCCTCTTCGTCCTCCTCCTCCCTCCACCTCGCCCTTCTCCCCTCATCCATGGTCTCCTCTGCATCCCCCGCCCTCCCCCTGTTCCACGTCCTCCTCGTCCTCCCTCCTGCATGCCCCTCTTCCTCATCCTAGGTACCCTCCCCCTGCGGTCACCCCCTGCCTCCACCCCTACCCCTCCTCCTCTCACCCTTACGCATTCCTGCATATCCTCGACCCCGAAGGGACCCGTCTACCTCCGTGTGGTCCGCCTGCTGTTCCGTGCTCTAAGTTCACATGTTATCCTCCTCATGCAGCCCCCCGCATCATCCACGCAAAATCATTATCCTCGTTCAGTGATGCTTTGTCCGAGCTCCTTCTCGCTCCATACTGTATCCTCCCCCTGGTCAGGTCGAGGCCGGCCCCCCCACGGGGCGACAGCGGTGCGGTGCAGAAGACCATCCAAGTCCAGGGCGGGGGGGGGAGCCCTGAAAGGGTGACAAGTCGGGGACTTACTTGTCCTGGGTCAATCCAAACCCAGGTCAGTCAGGCCTTACGGGATGCTGCAGGATCCTGCAAGATCCTGCACGCAAGCCCAGGCCAGTGCACCCCTGGCTCTGCAGGAACCTGCAAGATCCGGCGCTCTGACTGACCCCTCTTGCATTGAACCTGGTCCCCAGAGCCCCGAGTAGGCGGGGCGCGGCGCCGCCGGGGGGGGGCTCTGCGTCCTGCACGAGTGGCCAACCGCACTCGCACTCTCGGGAACTGCGCGCATCCGCTTGCGCGCAGCCAGCCGATCCAGTTGGACCCATGTCGGCAGAACATCCATCAAGAACATGAAACCCTCCGCCGGCCAAAACACACAGAGCATCCAAGGGTACCCTCCCCCAGCATGCACAAGAACATCCAGCAAGCACGAAGAACATTAGGGCACCCTCCCCGAACCGACCTCGATCTTACACCTCGGTCTGACTGTAGTTTGAAGTTCGGGCAGGGGTGTGCCACAAAGGGGTGTTGTGTCAATCGCGGGCATGGCGGTGTGATCGACGATAGAGAGCACAACGAGATGCAGCAGTGGCAACACACCCCTTTACTGAAGGTGCCCAGGGACACACAAATAAATACACACAAATAACAGGATTCCCCATCTTTTCCCATATTTTCTGGGTTTCTGTCTTCCCCCCTATTTTCCCATACTCTCCTGGGAGTCGACGATTGATTGTGTCTGTGTGTCTCTTTTTCCCTCCTGATCTACACCACACCCCTCTCCTGCCTCCAGATACAGGCCTCGGAAAAAATAGCGAACACTCATGCCACATTCATCTGTGAACGCCTCCCCCTTCCCCCCAGTGTTCACTGTTGGCGGTGGGTCTGATGAGTTGCACCTCGACCGCAGTCTCCCCCCCGCGTGCCAACCTTGAGTTTGGGGGGCAGGGGGGGTGCTCACTAATTGTCTCCCTCTGCCGCACTCTCCTGGGAGTCGACGATTGATTGTGTCTGTGTGCTTCTCTCTCCCTCCTGATCTACACCGCACCCCTCTCCTGCCTCCGGACATGGACCGATGGCCGATCCGATGCCCCCCGAGGCCGCCGGCTTCCCCCTTCCCCCGCCGCGCGCTCCTGCGCTCGACGGGCTGCGCGGGTCCCCCCGCGTACGCCGCCTCGGGCTGGGGGCGCTCGCCATCGCTCGGAGGTCCACTCCCTGTGCTGTTTTCGGTTGCGTGCGTGGCTTTTTCGCCACATGATCAAGGATGCTCCTCGATGGTCCCCGCCGAAGGAGAAATCCACACGTCCGAGCGATACCAAGGACGGGGGGGCGGGGGGGGGCGGCGGGGGACGCCTGCCCGACGGGGAGGGGGCGAAGGGGGGCGGGCGGAGGGGGGCGAAGCAGGGACCGACCACAACGAAATGTCAACCGAAACGGCGCCCACAGCGAGCAGCGAAACGAGGCCCGACGTTGCAAACGAACGCTGAAGACGAAGCCGGCGCCAAACGAAAACGAAGGACGGAGCGGGGCGCTTGAAACAATGAAAAGCACGAAACGAAACGACAGCGAACAACGAGAAAACGAAACAAGGGCCCACACCAAGCTAAGCCGAATCCCTGGGGTGAGGACGACCAGTGAGGAGGACACGAGGAGGAGCAGGGGGATGGGGAAGGGGAAGGGGGAGGGGGGGATGATGATGATGATGATGATGATGATGATGATGATGATGAGGAGGAGGAGGAGGAGGAGGAGGAGGAGGAGGAGGAGGAGAAGGAGGAGGAGGACGAGGAGGAGGAGGAGTGAGGATGACACGAGGAGGAGATTCGATGGGGTCAAGGGAGACGCCACCAGATCGGCGCGAGATCCAGGAGCTACCGTGTGCTCTCCCACGCTCTCCTGGGCTGCCTTCCTCCCCCCTCCTCCTCCTCCTCCTCCTCCTCTCCCTCCTCCTCCTCCTCGTTGCCCTCCTCCTCCTCCTCGTTGTCCTCGTTCTTCTCCTCCTCTTTCTCCTCCTCCTCCTCCTGCTCCTCCTCCCCTCTCCACGTCCCGTCGGTCCCGACATGTGTTCCTGAAAGCCTGCGTTCGTTTGTGTCTGTGTCGATGCGTCCCTCCTGAGAAGAGGATGGGGAGGAGGAGGAAGAGGAGGAGGAGGACACGGAGGAGAAGGAGCAAGTGGAGAAGGGGCCCGTTCCGCCGGCGAAGGAGGAGGAGGAGGAGGAGGAGGAGGAGGAGGAGGAGGAGGAGGAGGAGGAGGGAAGGGAGGAGGAGGAAAGGCGACGAGGAGGGGACACCACGACCACAAGCAGCAGCACCACGACTGCGACCAGCAACACCACGACCGTGACCAGCAGCAGCACCACCACGACAGCGAAGGGAGGGACAGCGGGGTGCGGGTGCGGGCGTGGGTGATTTGGGAGGTGCGAGGAAGGAAGCAGGGGGAGGGGAGAATGGAAAGAGGCAGGCTAGGTTGAGCTCGCACCACATCTGGCATGGAGCGGGTGGGGGATGCGCCGAAAGGGGTGCGCGAGAAGGGCGACAGGGCGCGACGCTGCGGAGCGAACACGAGGGCCCTACAACACAGGAGGGTTGGGGGAAACATGGAGAGCAGCGACACATGAAGCGACGCGCCGAGTCGGACGAGGGATGGCAGGGATGATTGAAACATGTGAGACCGCAACATCAGGAAGAGGGAGGGATGGGATGAGAAGGAGGCATGCGCGCGGCGATGAGTGACTCAAGAAAGAAGCACCAAAGACGTTTCGGAACATGTTGCGGTCCTGCGCCAGGCAACTGTTCGACTGAACCTATACTTGTACCAGAAGGACGTGCAGGGACGAGGCTCGGACGCAAAGCACTCTTGCTTCCCTCGGCTGCCATCCCTTCCCGGGAGGGGGGCAATCGATACCGATAGCGCTGCTCCGAAGGCCTCCCCCGGGGGGTGCGTCCAGACTCTCGTTCTCGGTAGCCACAAAAGGTCTTTAATAAACCCCCGGGAAATAATGGGAAAATAAATAATTGTTCCGCCGGCTAATTGACGGATTGGGACCCCGACAATAGTTGGAAATTAATTATTCTCGTCGGCGGATGCATGAGAGGTCATGAGAAGTGCTCAAAAATCCAGAACAGGGGGGGGGCGAGGAGGAGGAGGAGAAGGAGGAGGAGAAGGAGGAGGAGGAGGAGAAGGAGAAGGAGGGGGAGGGGGATGATGATGATGATGATGATGAGGAGGAGGAGGAGGAGGAGGAGGAGGAGGAGGAGGAGGAGGGAGAGGGAGGGGAAGGAGGAGGAGGAGGAGGGACGAGTTTCTATTCCCCGCCGAGAGCTTAGGGGGGGGGTGCATCATTAAAGACCCTCTGCGGTTACCTTTCCCTCTTCTGAGCCCCTGGGTTCCCCTGGTTGCCCTCCTGCGACCCGCACGTGCGAAAGGACGCAGCAGCGGCACGCGCCTTGTACGTCGACTCCCCCGTAAAAGCGGCCTGCGCGGGCGCAGGGGGCTCTCTGAGAGCGATTGCGCTGCGTCCCGAGCAAAGGAAGGTACAGTCGGCTCCTATCATAAGGATGCGCGATGGGGATGCAAGGGCCTCGGACGCCCATTTCGAAGCTGCTCCAGCGGGGCGTGGCCAACGAAAGTGGCCAAGGATGGACCGAGGAGGCAAGGATGCAAGGGTACCCTTGGGAAGGTTGCCCATCCTTACTATGCGGGTCGATTGTACCTGACCCAAACACGAGGGGCAAAGTTAGAGGGGGACCAGCTCAGGGGGGAATACAGGAAGCCCCAGGAGGTCCCCGAGAGGCCACAAGAGGCCCACGAGAGGTCCCGAGGAAGCCCGCAAGAGGCCCCCAATAGGCTCCCAAGAGGCCCGCAAGAGGCCCCAACATTCCTCCCCAGAGGCTCCCGACAGCCTTCCGAAGAGACCCCAAGAAGCATCCCTGAGGACTCTGGCCCACGTCTGCGCCGTCGTCGTCGCCACCGCCGCCGCCGTTGTCGTCGTCGTCCCCCTTCAGGGTCACCGGCACCGGCCGTAAGGCCTTCGCAATACATCGAGCTGGGATCGGCGATACATCGTCGATACATCGGCGATAAGCCCCTAATAGCGACTCCGCATGCCCCTGGGTGGGTGGGGTGGGCTATCAGGCACCTATCGGCGGTCAGTGGGGTCGATGCGTTTTCCTCTGGAAAAATACCATCAGGGATGCCGCAAGAGAGTGGAGAGGCCCTAGAAATTAGCCTGACGATGGACCCAACCATATGCGGTTGAGAATACCGCATTATGGGTACCGGTTTCGGTGAAGCTCCCTATGGGGCCACGAAGCGCTGTCCTGAGTGGCGTTGACACATGCGGCCTGTGCCACTGGAGCCTTCGGCGGGACTCCCCATGGGGCCACGCAGCTCTGTCATGCATGCGGTTTGTGCCACTGGAGCCTTCGGTGGAGCTCCCTATGGGGCCACGCGCTGTCCTGGGTGGCGTTGACGCATTCGGCCTGTGCCACTGGAGCCTTCGGTGGAGCTCTCTATGGGGCCACGAAACGCTGTCCTGGGTGGCGTTGACGCATGCGGCCTGTGCCACAGGAGCATTCGGTGGAGCTCCCCATGGGGCCACGAAGCGCTGTCCTGGGTGGCGTTGACGCATGCGGCCTGTGCCATTGGAGCCGTCGGTGGAGCTCCTTATGGGGCCACGAAGCGCTGTCATGGGTGGCGTTGACGCATGCGGCCTGTGCCACTGGAGCCTTCGGTTGACGAATGCGGCCTGTGCCACTGGAGCCTTCGGTGGAGCTCCCTACGGGGCCACGAAGCGCTGTCCTGGGTGGCGCTGGCGCATGCGGCCTGTGCCACTGGAGCTGTCGGTGGAGCTCCCTATGGGGCCACGAAGCGCTGTCCTGGGTGGCGTTGACGCATGCGGCCTGTGCAACTGGAGCCTTCGGTGGAGCTCCTTATGGGGCCACGAAGCGCTGTCCTGGGTGGCGTTGACGCATGCGGCCTGTGCCACTGGAGCCTTCGGTGGAACTCCTTGTGGGGCCACGAAGCGCTGTCCTGGGTGGCGTTGACGCATGCGGCCTGTGCCACTGGAGCTGTCGGTGGGCCTCCCTATGGGGGCACGGAGCGCTGTCCTGAGTGGCGTTGACGCATGCGGCCTGTGTCATTGGAGCCGTCGGTGGAGCTCCTTATGGGGCCACGAAGCACTGTCCTGGGTGGCGTTGACGCATGCGGCCTGTGCCACTGGAGCCTTCGGTGGAACTCCTTGTGGGGCCACGAAGCGCTGTCCTGGGTGGCGTTGACGCATGCGGTTTGTGCCACTGGAACCTTCGGTGGAGCTCCCTATGGGGCCACGGAGCGCTGTCCTGGGTGGCGTGGACGCATGCGGCCTGTGCCACTGGAGCCTTCGGTGGAGCTCCCTGTGGGGCCACGGAATGCTTTCCTGGGTGGCGTGGACGCATGCGGCCTGTGCAACTGGAGCCTTCGGTGGAGCTCGCCATGGGGCCACGAAGCGCTGTCCTGAGTGGCGTTGTCGCATGCGGCCTGTGCCACTGGAGCTGTCGGTGGGCCTCCCTATGGGGTCACGAAGCGCTGCCTGGGTGGCGTTGACGCATGCGGCCTGTGCCACTGGAGCCTTCGGTGGAGCTCCCTATGGCCCTATGGGGCCACGAAGCGCTGTCCTGGGTGGGCGAAACGCAGGAAGGGGAGGAGGGGGAGGAGGAGAGGAGAGGAGTGACGCGTGGCGCTGCCTCTTCAAAACGAGGACCCAACACCACAGGATGGTTGGGGAAAAACAGAAAGCAAATTACACCCAAGCGTCGAAACCGTAAGCAATGTCAAGAAATCACATCTAGAACATGATCCGCTTGGCAACAGCTCGCAAACGGACATCGCACCGCCACCTTGAATTATTGAAACATCGGAGAAGCTGAAGCTGGAAAGTTTGAGAAGGACGGCGGCAACTAAGTTTAAACGCTTGAAAGCTGGCGAAACACCCGAATGTTCAGCTAGCATGCTAAACGCTTGTATGTTGCTCACGCCTTTTGCGTCAAACCTAAAGACTCGTCAAACTCACACGCTTCAACTTTACAAGTTCGAACACCTGGAAAGTGAACGCCCACTTGTGAAGCCCCCAAGACGGCCCAAGGACGGCCAAGCAGAGCAAACAAAACTGCTGACGAGGGCCTCGTGAGACCCCATGAGGGCCAAGAGGGGCCCAAGAGGGAGAAAACAAAGGGGTTTTGATAGCCTTTACACCAATACTATCAACATGCCCCCAAGAGGCACTCAGACCCACTAGAAAGCACACAAAAAAGCCTCACGAGGCCCCGACAATGTCTTCAAGAGGCCCTCGAAAGTCCTCCCAGGAGATCACAAGAAACCTCCCAGAGAGGCATTTTGCCCACGACCCAGGGGCGGTGGTGCGTGTGATTCCCCGAAGCCGTCCAAACCCTCGCAGGCCCCTCCAGAGACTCTCAGAGACTCGCAAGAGGTCGCAAAGACTCGACTAGCCTCCCAGGGCCTCCCAAGGCTTCCCAGAAAGCATGTCGATGCGCTAAAGCAAAGGCCCGCAACACAGCAAGCAAGCAAAAGCCCCCAGCACCCTCACCCCCTTCTGGTGGCAAGCAGCCATCAAGTAGGAAGCTGGCCAGACCCCTGCGCCTTAAAGCCTGGGTGGCCTCCCTGATTCGAGTCCTCATTTTAGCGTTGCCCCGGAAACGTGATATCCAAGGAACAACAAAACACCAACGCATGGCGACTGTGTATTGCACTGGCACGGGGGCTTCCGTGCCCAGGCCACACGCAACAAGAGGCCTCGGAACTCTGAGAAATCCCACCAGCCCTCTGGGCGTCGGTGGTTTAGGCCGTTTCCTCTTCCACCCCTCCTTCTTCCCCTTCGGGGAGGGGTTTACCCCTCCCCCGACCCTCTCCCCATGGACCTGGACAGGGCGTTCCGCGAGTCGTCGGAGCGTCTAAGATGACCCAAATTGGCTCCAAGAGGCCACGAGGGCCTCAATGAGCCCTAGATAGCCTCCAAGACGGCTCGAGATACCGCAAGATGCCTCGAGATAGCTTCCGAGGTGCTCCAAGACGCTCCAAGACGGCACCAAGACGGCTCCAAGTATCCAACAGAGCTCCCCAAGGATGCCCCCAAGAAGCCAACATGCTTCAAAACCCTAGGGACAATTCACGTTTTTGGCGTTATCGCCGTTGCGCTTACAATGCCCATCCAAGGCTTCAGCGTATCTCCAAGATGGCCCAAGATAGCCCCAACAGGGACCCAAGAGAACCCCAAGACGGCCCCAGGAGCGCCCAAGAGCGCCCCAAGAGCGCTCCAAGAGGCGACTTGGGGGGCTCAAGAGGGGCGACGCTAATTGAAGCTCCCCCCTTTTTGTGATCGATGTTCTCCAAAAGGGCCTCAAGAGACGTCTTGGACCCTCCTCTTGGGCCCTGCGTGCGGGCGGGCGGGGCGCCGCCCGCCCGCCCGCGGGGCCAAAGAGCCCACCAAAACGCCCCAAGAGAGCTCCAAGACGCCACCAGGAGGAGGAAGAGTAAGAGGAGGAGGAGGAGGAGGAAGAGGAGGAGCAGGAGGAGGAGAACAGCTGCCGATGGTCGGCGCTCTTCGTTCGAGAGCCTGGTGTAGGATGGGCTGGTGGGGACACTTTTAAGTCGCAACCGCAAGCGAAAGCGCAGGCGGCGAGTAACGGAACGGGCGGGCCGCGCGTGAACCGAATTGCCTAACGCGACAGCAAACAGAGGCCTAGGCGGCACCTCAGAACACCGGAAACGGAAGGGGGTGCGGGCTGCAGCTGCCAGGAACCCGGTCCAGGAGCGCGCACATGCACTTAGCCAACAACCGAAGTCGGGGCGCAGCCAAAATGGCGCGGGAACGAAACCAGGATGAAACCAGGAACGCCACCACGAAGGGTCACAGAAACCGGCAAGGCCGAGGGAACTCACTGACCAGGAACCTGGGCATGGAAGTGACGCCACCAAAGTGCTGGTGAGGATACTGTTTTCCGGTTTTTTCGGTCGCGGCCGCGAGACAAGGGTCAGGCGGCGAAAGCAAAGTCTGGGGCACGAGCGACGCTAATTAGCTACACCAGGCACAGGCCGGCCGGCCCGCTCACAAAGCAGCCACGAAGCTGAAGAGGAGCTGACGCCGCAGGTGTCCTGATCCTGAGAGCTCGTGCACGTGCACAGACAAAATGTCATGGAATTCGGTGCCTGTCACAGTCTGAGACGTGAATTGGGATAACCAAGCCCGTCAATCTAAGTGGGGGCACGACCCACACAG